GGAAGAAGTTCGTAGATTCTTCCTAAAACGTTTGCCTCATTGGCAAAAGAGGCGTTTCCATTCCAGACCTGAACCACATCTTCTCGTTCTCTCACACTGACACTTACTCCTACCACCTCATCCTCTAAAAGACAAACAAATATTGCATTACTTATTTAAATGTTATCAATAAAATAAACATTTAAATAATTGAATAGAACATATTTCTATACTCACCTGATGCACAGTAATCTGTGAACTGTTCACCAATTGTAGCCAATAGGAGCTCCTTCCACACAGCTAACTGTTAGAAAAAAGGATATGGACAGATTATATTCTGGCAGTGATAACACACACCAGAATGTATGGGAAAATACTGAATTTGTGTATGTATTTAACGTATTTACATTATGCAGTCAGTCTACAAGTCAAAGTGGAGCAGACTTACTGTGCTCTCCTTTGGCACTTTCATTTTCCAAACACCTCCCTTGGCATTGCTTTCCTCTTCCCTGTGTAGACAGAATTATTATTTTTTTTAAACAAAATGGTTTATATAAATTGTCCCAAAGGCATTTCCCAAGCTGAGGACAGATATACATTCCAGTTAAAAAGTAAAGGAAGTGTCTTATGCTCACAAAGGCTGCATTTATTTGATCATAAACTCAGTAAAATCTGTAATATTGTGAAATACTATTACAATTTAAAATAACTGTTTTCTATTTTAATATATTTTAAAATGCGATGTATTCCGTTGATGCAAAGCTGTATTTTCAGCATCATTACTCCAGTCTTCAGAGTCACATGACCCTTCAGAAATCATTCTAATATGCTGATTTGCTGCTCAAGAAATATTTTTATTAACAGTTTAAATTAAACAGATTTGCTCAGGATTTTTTGACGAATACAAAGTCCAAAAGAGCAGCCTTTATTTGAAATAGAAGTTTTGTAACATTGATGTCTTTACTGCCACTTTTGAGCAATTCAATGCATCGTTGCTGATAACAAGTATTCATTTCTTTTCAAAAAGAAAAAAAAACAACGTTTAGAACTTTTATCGTGAATTAGCTGAAGACTCACCATAGTGGTCTTCTTTCTCCTCGCATTAAGTGGTAGCTACACCTCAGAGGGAGGCAGGACACAGCAGGGATGTTGTTGTACACACTCCAGAAACTCTTTATGTTATGAAAAATAGGTGATGCATAATATATCAGCAACAATATTTTCCCCAACTGCAACAGTAAACTTTTTTTCTGCTGGCTTACAAAACTATTACACACTATTACTGTCCATCATAATATTTTGGTGCCTAATTTCATTTAAGTCATATACAAATCTAAATGAAAGCTACAATGCATTATTGAACACAATAATTAGCAGTTATTAGCATCTGTCAAATTTGGGCTTGCCAAATTTGCATATCTCTCAATTAAAATTCTACAAAAACAGAAATTTCACCACATCTTGATTAATATATCAAAGGACTAGTTTTTCAGGTTGATCAGGCAAAACATATAATTATACAATTACAAAATGACTTCTAATAAAAGTGCAACACCTACTTGTACAGTGTGGACAGTGTATATCTTTTTGAGATTTGATTCACACTCTGCTGCCGTTGTACCTGGTAATGACCTTGAAGACATAAAGAATTTAAAAGAATTACAAAATGCACACTAATAAATACATTTAAAAGAATAATTCACTTAAAAATAAAAATTCTGTCATCATTTACTCGCCCTCATTTCATTCCAAACCTGACTCTCCGTCTTCTGGGGAACAAAGTTGAATTTCTTAGTAATATAATCAAAAAGAGTGGCCAAGATAATGAAAGTGAATGTGAACTGTTGCTGTAAAGCTTCAAGCTTGCTTGAAGTGCTGTGTTTTTTGTCATTTTGAAGCTTGACAGCTTCATATTATATGATCAAAAACAATCGAAACATTCTTCGGAAATTCCCCTTTTGTGTTGGGCAAAGGAATATCATACAATTTTGCAATGACATGAGGGTGAGTAAATAAAGAGAGATTTTTGGGTGAACTATACCTTTAAACAAGACATTTTGCACTACACTAAGCTTGGCACATCATCTATATCGCTGCCATAAACCATATATTCATAGGGGTGTTATCTCCGTCTTATGTCATGTGCAATTTAGTGCTTCTGATCATGCCATGAGACACAGAACACAAGCATTTCACAATCGTTATGGCAACCAAATGTCAGTCTGACGGTAAACAGGACTTCAACCCTTTGAAAATCATTACCAAAAAACTGAAGAGAAAATTTTAAGCAAGAGAAGCTTAAGGAAAAAGCAGCCTGAGTAAAAGTATATATATATAGCTTATTAATATCATTACATTGGTTATATATCAGTTTTAAAATCACATGCAAATGAACAATCAACTAATCAACTTAGAAGTGGTAATTTCACAATTTAACTTATTCTGCACTAACCGTGTCCTACATTTTAAAAACGCCAACAAAACTTAAATGGGCTCCTGACAAAGCCTTGAGGTACACCCTTACCATATTACTCTGTTTACAGAGCTTCAGAAAGAACATGAAATCTGATATTAAATAACAACCATGACCTACAGGTGACTCGACCTACTTTCCTAAGTTATTATATCAGCTCTGCGTTATGACACTCTTAATTTAATCTTACAAACACTTAATACAGGCGCCTGAGCCATCTACTAGTGTTAGCTGTGCTCGTTTAGAAACTGAAAATAGTAAGGTTAGCTATAAAAAGAGAAATACCAATCTTGGGCCTTTGTTGACAGGCTTGTGGATATAGAAAGTCCTTAATGCTTAATAACAGTAATATACCAAGATCAGCCTACCGATCCAGCCAGAAGGTCCACGGGGAGTGCAGCGGCAGCGAGGTGCCGTCCTCGATGTGGTTGGTGATGTTTTCCAGCTCTCTCTCGTCGATGTGGATGTCGTTTTCTGTTGAGTTCACAGGGCTGCTTTGTCTCGCCGTGTTCAGCTGCAGGTTTGGGGCTGCAGGAACCGCCATTTTTGCTTTATTACCGCTAATCGATGTGTGAGTGTTTTGCTGGGAGATCTATAATAATCTCCACATCCACAGATAGGCAGATTATTGATGCTGAATCATTTGCCGATCGGCCCAATAACTGCAGACCGGAGATCTCCAAAATGGGGCGTGAACTCCAAAAGTGGGCAGAACCTCCAAAATGGGGCGGAGTCTCCTCGCGCAAAGACTTTCACCATTGGCTCTGGCTCCGGCCAATTGACTTACATTTCAAAATAAAACTTTATAAACTAAACATTGTTTCTAATTGATCTAAAATCAAATATGCTATATGAATAAATATTCTCCTTGAGAGCAGAGCCCAAAGCTCGTGGCCAGTGGTCTGAACCTCTGCTTAATAAACAGGAATCACCCTCGAGCTCTCCCACCAGCCTTCCCAGCACAGGGGAAAGATTTTACTCTATCGCTTTGTTTTAGTCAACGGGGGCGTCCAGGGGCTCGAAATTCGCAGGGAAGGAGGGGGTAGTGACACTGGGTGTAACTAAAAAGGTGTCATTGTCCGGTGAGGTCCGGTTGGGGAGTTGCGGAACGATCTCATATCGCATAATCTTATTAAAGGGGTCATATGATGCGATTTCAATTTTTCCTTTCTCTTTGGAGTGTTACAAGCTGTTCGTGAATAGATAAGATCCCTGAAGTTGCAAAGACTAAAGTCTCAAACCCAAAGAGATATTCTTTATAAAAGTTAAGAGTCAGCCACGCCTACCTAAAACGGCTCGTTCTAACACTCCCCCACATATCTACCTCACTATGTGGGAAGATTTGCATAACGCCGCTCAAATGTTCACGCAAAGAAAGAAGGAGTAACTTTTATTCTCGCTGTAGTATTGTTGACGCCGCCGCCATGTCGTGAAGGCGCTGTGTGTTTTTCGTTGTGAAAGCGAAACTACTTTGTTTGGTCTTCCAAAAGAGGACGATATCTGCTTCATCATGCCTGGAGCTGATCCGTGCTGGTCGCTGAGGAAATACATCAAGTTCGTGGTGTGGATCACCGGATCGGCTTTCACCGCGGACGAAGCGGAGTCCAGCCCGGGGTCGTCACATGTGGTTGCCGCAGGCATCACAGTATGGTAAGGGGCGTAACATTTCCGTCACACGCTTGAGGTATTCGGCCAATCACAACGCACTGGATAGCTGGCCAGTCAGAGCACACCTCGCTTTTCAGACCGATGAGCTTTGTAAAGATCGACCCGTTTCAGAAAGGCGGGGCATAGAGGAGAAACAACAATGTACAGTATGTGGAAAATAATGTGTTTTTTGAACCTTAAACCACAATTCATTACACCAAATACACAACATATTTTTCTTTTTAGCAGCATCATATGATCCCTTTAACTACTTATCTCCTGAACTTTCTTTACCACACTATTCAGCGCCTATCTCGCCGTGCAGTCAATTTCACTGGCTAAGGTTAGGGTCAGGTGTTGGGTAGGCTTAGGGGTTAGCATCTATTGTAGCATAGTGTAGGAAATCAACACTGTGATTGACACAACCAATAAAATCTTTAGAATCAGCTGTGGGGCGGAGTTTCCACTGAACTGGATTGGGAGAAAAAAGTGTGCATGCGTGTCATGTGCCTGTCTGTCAAAGGGAGGAAGCCACGCCCTATTTTGGAGCTCCCACCCCGTAGTTCCCTCCCCCATTTGGAGATCTCCAGGCTGCAGTTATACCCTTCTCGATCGGCCGGCTGGACACAACAACAGAGTCGGACTGGGGAGGGTGAAGTCAGACGCAGCGCCCCCTGTCTTCTTCTTGCTTTACGGCGGATCTCAGATTTATAAGTGCATTACCGCTACCTACATCTCAAATGGACCATTGACACTCTATCTACAATCTCCTGATTAACCTACCAACCCACATACAAACACCCTCGATCCTTGTACCCGCTCACAGTCTTCATAGAGCTTCATCCGGCGCTGCATGTTCAGCTCCTCCGTCCACGCCCCGTCTCAGCATTCAGACGCATTTTAAAATAAGTGGGATTAATTTCAAAGGTTTAAGAGTTTAATCAGGCAAACCGCTGGTGAAAAAGCAATCTTAAACTGACAGTTGTTTTCTAGCTGGTCCTTTTGCTGGTAGACCATTTAGTACCGGCGTCAACCCGTGTTGTTATTGTTAACAAAAACGTGAAATAAAGCCAAAATAAATTAAAGGGGTCATATGATGCGATCCTGATGCTGTGTGTTTCGTTGTGAAAGCGAAAACTACTTTGTTTGGTCTTCCAAAAGAGGACACGACTAGAAATCAGTGGTTAAGTTGTATTTACAACACTGTTCCAGAACTGTTCAACCCAAATATTCAGATGTGTGCAGCACATTTTATGGAGGACTGTTTCCTGATCCTGGGAGAGTAGACTACAATACCGGCTGTTCTGACTCACAGACTGTAAGTACGTCTTTTATATTTAAAGAATTTACCACTGATGACTCAAACGTGAGTTTTGAGCAGTGTAGAGTAGCGCTTGTTGTTTGTCATTTCTCCGATCACAAACGCAGACATGGTTTTATGTTTATGCGGCGCGATGCAACGCATAAAAAGACTGTATAAAAAAAACTTAAAAGTGACAATTGAAAATAACTAAAATCAGTGAATGATTTCTTGGCAGTGAAGTTTAAGTTAAAAAGAAATTTTAAAAAATAAGTTAAAATTAAATAGAAATATGTAGTCTATTAAAAACCTTAAAATGCCAAAAGTGCATAAAATTACTAAAATTAAAGCTAAATAGATATGTAAGAAATGGCAAAAGCATAAAATTACTACCATTAAAATAAAGCTAAATAGAAATATGTAAAAAAGACAAAAGCACATAATTACTAAAACTAATTTATATGAATAACTATTTTATCATAATAGTTTTTTTATATTTTGAATTTGCTTTTTAATTTTTATTTTAGTTTTTAATTTTAGTATAAGATTATGATTAGGGTTAGATTAGGGAGGTAAAGTTGATATTTGGAGCATGGTAACAACTAATGACCAGTTCAGACCAGCTAGAAACCAGCTATTATGTTCCAAAACACAGCTAAAACCAGAGGGTGGACAGGACATGTTACTGTATCAACATCCTTTGTTTGCCCTCTGATTTAAGGGTTAAGGGGTTGGGATTGAGACCTACAAAAATGAATTGATGTTCCAGTATTTAATGGAACAACAAGAGATGTTGATCGAAGAATACATGTCTTATCTAAATCACACTGGGAAGGTTTGCTAAGATTGTAGTAGATTCAATGGATATCTAATAAACAATTAATGAACGTGTTAAAGAGCTTGTGATTATATGCACCCATTTTAAAGTCAAGATGAAGCAGAAGTAGCGACAGACCTCTTCTTCTATATAGTAATGTACGTATAGGAGTTTAACGGATTATCAAAATAGGTTTAAGAGGGGCTTAGCATCAAGTGATTGGATGTTGAGATGTGGATGCAGTTGAGCATGAGCTTGCAGTAGCGGGACTAAATGAAGAAGATCTGCATACGTCACCAGAGAGAAGGAAGGTCCAGTTATGACATTGTGAGTAAACATCATGAGGTCAAAAAAAAAAAAAAAAACATATGCATGGATGATTTGTTCACAACAACAGTAGCATGCATTCAGAGGCTGAATTTGCACTTCACACCGACTTAAACACAATATACATTGGTTACTATACAAGAACAAACTGCTTGTAGAAAATCTAAATTATCACATCAAAGCCTTCAAGATGCTTTGAGACCGTAGTGAGTTTCAGAAGTATTTTATTAGCTTCATAAGCTTCTAGATTTTTAACAAAGGTCAGAATCAATGTGTAAACCTGTGCAAATCGTCCTTATGGGCGAGGAGAAGCCAATTTTTACAACACAATGCTATATTGGGAGTATTTACCAAATTTTTAGTAGAGATCTTGGTAAACCGTAAATATACTGTATGAAATCTCACAAATAGATAAGCTGCTTCATACTCCAACAACTGCCGGTTTCTCTCTCCACCCTTTCGTTGCCATGAAGTTGAATAATAGACAGTACTGTGAATCTCGATATAATTTGACAAGAAATATGCAAAGGTTTAAAGTCTAAAAACGGAGAAAGATAAAGAACAATATTCTAAATACTCTTATCATCTTGTGAACCACAAAACATGTCTACATGGTACACCGTATGGATTTCAAAGTTGGCCTTGTATTTATAATACTGTAAACTCACATCACAGTTTGTGCTTCCACCTTGTAAACACATGAGAGTTTGTCATATGACATAATAAGGGAACAAATCTCCCCGTACACGGTGGTCTAGCGTGATCTTATCGTCGAGAACTCGCTTTCTACAAACAGCCGCGGCAACAGATCGGTGACTCAGAGCTGTCTGAGAGATGGAGGAATGAGCTCAGATACTGTACATTTAGCATAAACGCTTCTACGTTCTAAACACAAAGTCAAAGCAGCCGTCTGCACGATTTAATGACAATGAGCAATAATAATGCAAACTTGGGAGCGCTGCTTTCCGTGGTGCACAAACATAGATTATATCTGGAAGGAGTAGGGCACAGAATATACAGTGGGTCTCGGCCTGACAGTGACTCACGTGAACATCAACACATCAATCTACAAGGTGCTCCACGAGGGTTTTCGACAGGTACACTTCTGCCAATGTGTCAAGATGGACATTGTCTGAATGGGTTGGAAAGATCCCTCTTCCATGTACAGTTACGAGTGTGGCTGTAGGAGCTCTGGAATCTGTGTGAATCTCTTCCCCTTCACATGGTCTCATTGTGGCCGGAAGAAAGGTCTCTTCTGGGGGTGGAGGCGCGGGACGACCCCTTGTCCGTGCTCTCCGAGCTGGAGCTCAGGTGCTGCTGCTCAGAGCCAGTGCTGGAGGTGACAGTGGAGGAGGAGGTGGAGGAGGAGCGAGTCTTCTCCTTAAAGTCTGTGATGATGACAGTCACATTGCCCACCGTTATAGCGAGCTGCTGAGCCGAGCTCCTGTCCACGTTCTTCAGTTTAGGTCTGAAGTGTAACAGAGGAATGGAGAAAGAAGGAATTATACATCAACTATTACTGCACCGTTCATTCACGTAAAGACTATTAAATGGATAGTTCACCCTAAAATGAAAACTGTCATCAGTTACTCA